CTTGAACGTAAGCCTTCGTAGTGAGCGTCCAAGTCGACATGACGGTTGATGCTATTGTCATTAGAGTGCCAAGCTTCTAGAAACTCTCGCGCTTGTTTGGTGTTGGCACTAGCGATCACTTCAGTCCCCTCCCAGTTGAAGCGATGAGCACACTCAAGGGGGTGCGCAAACACGAGAGACAAGGCGTCCCGCCGGCGGATGGTCAACTTATGTTCGTTAATGCGGGTCTCAAGTCGCCGGCCGGTATGCCCAACATAAACGCTAGAGCAGTTTGCATATGGAATGCGATAAATTACATTTATTTGCTGCCCCTTCGGTATGGGATGTTTTACTTGGGATACTTTCGTGCGCAATGAAGAGGCCGGTTTGTGGGCGATGGAGATGCCGAGCTGATTTAGTTGTCAAGCGATTGCTTTGGAAATTCTTGGCATGGGGGCAGGGAATAGAATTTCCGTGATGTCCAGTCTCCGTTGGAGTCGACGCTTTGTGGTTGCCTCTGGCGTCTGAGACGATTTTTTTTTCACAAAGCTCACCGGGTATCCTTTGAGTAGAAAAAAACCGATACAAGTATGCCGGTTCTTTTTTGAGTAAATTAGCGCTACTGCAGTAACGATAGGTCCTGTGGAAAAGGGTCGAACACGGCTTCTTTTATGGGCTGCTGGGTGGTTACTCTGATAGCTCAGGATGATCTCAGCATCAGAGTTTTTCCGATGGACGCTTGTTTCGCGGACGCCGTCAATGAGCCCTTGTGTGCTCACGTCTAGGAACGGGGGGTGCCTCCTTTTGCTTCTTCGCGAATGAATTGTTGCGCTGGAAAGGCGCCATTTAAGTTCTGGTGAAATTGCTCAACTTCACAGGTCTTGGCGAGGACAAATGTATCATCTACGTGCCTGAGCCACGTTTTCGGTTGGAAACTGTGTACAACATCTTGTTCTAGTCGTTGTAAGACTAATTCTGCGAGTAGCCCTGAAAACGGCGAACCAGTTGGGGTGCCCTTAACCTGTTGGTAATAGTTGCCATAGATTTGGCAATAGTTATTGAGGCAAAGCTTAAACAATTCTAAGACGTGGTGTGGAAGGTCCAAAACACAAGCATACACATAGACGCACCTGGCGGAGTTGGTCCACCACTGGCGTCTACCAGATGGGTCATAAGCACTTCATCGAACTGAATTTCATCAGTGCCTCACTACCTGTCATTGTCTGTCGCTGCAGATTGAGTAGTTATTCACTCAGGAACGGGAGCACACCGATCTATTGGCTTTATGAAGCAAACATATATATATATATATATATATATATATGAATATGGGTGAAAATGCTGACCCCAGGTGTAGAGATGGAAGAAGACGGTATGACGATCTTTGGGGAATGCGATTTAATTATCTGTTGTTTCGTACTCGCACTTGAGCACATCATCGGGCATAGACGAAATGAGAAATTAATGGTTTAAGCAAATGCTTCGTGCTCGTACCTGATTGGTCCATCCTGCTCCCTTCTCGCGCGCGAGTGTTGTCTGATGGCCTCGTAAGGCGCTGTAAGGTCAATACTATGGTTTGTCTAGTTGGCGTCTGATTTCCAGGCTTCGATCACTTCTTTCGCCAGTTTGCTTTCGGCTCGGCCGAGCACTTGGACGCCGTCCAAGTCAAACATGTGAGTATTTTCTAGGCTGTGCATTGCGACATACGATTGTACATCCTTTCGCTTCACCGCTAGGGTGTGCTCATGCATGTGCGTGTGCAGTCGTTTGTCGGTCATGCCGCAGTATTTGGCCAGACATTCTAGACATTTGACACTGTAAATGACACCCTATGTGTCTGTAAGTGGTAGCCGGCCCTTGGGCTGCATGTGTAAGCGGCGGATGGTGGCCTCCGGCCGGTGTCCAACGCCCACGCTTAGCGTTCTTAGCACGCGCTCAGTGGCTTCGCAGACATTTCTCACATACGGCAAAACGAGGAAGCTTTCAGGTCTTTGTGTGTTCTCACCGTCGGCATTCGTGTGTCTTTGGTATAAGCGTTTGTTTACAAAGTGCGCGGATATCAATTGGCAAGGAAGAGGTGCCATAGAGTCTTACGCTCCTGCGCTGCAGCGTGCGTTTATGTGGCGAAAAGATTCCGGACGCAGCTGCGTTTATGCGACAGGGGATGGTTGCTGTTTTAGTAAAGAATTTTCTGCGTGTTTGTCGCTTTTCAAAAGACACCAGTCTGAAGGGCTCCGACTTCCTGCCTCGTTACCTGAACGTCGAGGATAAGGGGGCACTCCGTCTATTTCATCCTCCATGGCAAATTCAATTCGTGAGAAAACCGAGATCAGTTCCCTTTTAAAGTTGTCTTTCGCGTCTCGGCGTGGGATGACAATGGTGTCGTCTTCGTAGCGCATCCAGAACTTCGGCTTGTAGGACTGAATAGGTCGAGCTTCCAGGTCCTGCATGACCTCCTCAGCCAGGTAGCCGGAAATCGGGGACCCCATTGGGGTTACCTGGATTTGTTCGTAAACTTAACCATTAAAAGTGAAGTACGTGCGTGAGCAGTGGTCCAGTAGGTCCATCGCCTGCTACCTCTTAAAAAGGTTTCCCTCTTTGTCGTATCTTCTCTCCAGTAAGTCATTGATGATTCTCATGACCAATTCTTTTGGGATGGAGGTGAGTCGAGAGACGACATCAAATGATACCATTATCTCGTCAGGGGCTATTATAACGCCATTGAGTTTCTCCAGAAAGTGTGTTGAAGATACGGCTGTGTTCTGAGCCGTCCGTCAGTTTCTTCAAATGCCTGGCGAGCCACCAAGCCAGTCCTTAGGCAGGCGTGTCTTTCAGCACCACAATGGGTTGTTGAACATTTGGTTTGTGGATTTCCGGCAATCCAATGGAAAAGGCCGTCCGGACACCAAAACCGACCACCTGCCGAACTCTCTTATGGGTGAGAAATGTATCTGAATTAGCCGAAAAACAACTAAAAAACATCAGATACACGTAGCTCATTAACCGGCAAGTACCTTACGCACACACCTTGTATACTCTGAGGACAACCCTAATAGCAAGCGAGCTCGTCGCGAGCTAGCGTAATCGATAGCGGTCGCGTGCAATTGCAATTGCTTATCGATCGACTCCGGTGCTCGATAATGCCCACGCTATCCTCGGCGCGCGCCGCTTCTTGCTCTCTCACGCTGCAGTGCGCACATCAGGCCTGCCTTGACGCTCTCATTGCCTATATGAGCCGTTTTTACCTGTTTTTTGTTGCCTTATAGTGACAAGTATGTTGAATTGTGTTAGCAGACGTAATCGCCGACGTCAAGCACGCAGGGAAACAGAAAAAAGTAATGCGAAGAACCAGCGAAAAGGTGAGGGAAATGTCGTCGTCAGACACATCATCTTCGAGTTTTCCAAGCAGTTTCACTGACGAATCTGACTCCTCAACTTCGTACGAATACGGATATTCTTCTACCCTAGGGTTGGCTACCGCGAAAGAAAATGAATTGTCTACAAAATCCCATGTTCCAGTTGTGATGCCGTCTATTGTGACCAAACTGGGAAATCTGCCTCAACCCGTATACATGAACATCAGTTAGCGATGAAGAGACGCGACCATCCTATCCCAGGTGGCCATGCGCACACTGGACACTGGACACAAATTCGTATGGGATAGCTCTCGCATTATTGGCGCCTGCCCAATAAGGAAGGGCTGTGAAGTCCTGGAGGCAATGCACTCAGATGAGATATGCATCACCCGGTATATCGATCTAGATGCCGCATAAAAAATCGTTAAGGGCAAATTCAAACTGGCTCAGCCAGTCCTGAGGAGATGAAAAATTGCAATTAACACGCGTTGGCACAGACTTTAGCCGATCATAGAATCCTTTGTCTAACTCAGTCTAGAAGTTAATTGTTTTCGCACACCCATGGTATGAAGACGGGTCGGGGAACCAGCCTCGAAAATTTACACAATAAAGTTTACTGTTTTCCAAAGAATCCCATCTTCTGAAAACACATACATATATAAACCCATAAGCAGCTTGTTTACTTCGGGAAGCCAATGAATCAGTGTGCGCCCGTTCCTGAGTGAATAAATACTCGATATGCAGCGACAGAGAATGGCAGGTGACGAGGTACGGTCAATTTCGGTTCGATTAAGAGCTTATGACCCATCTAGTAGACACCAGAGGTGGACCAACTGCGCTAGGTGTGTGTG